AGTCAAGGATGAGATGACATTTCACAGATGAATTACAGCTGGAGGGATGCTCTCTCCAAAGAGCCATGGAATCAACAGCTGCTTCCTTTGACGTCAACTTTCCTGCTCTTTGCAGGGACTCTGACCTTCCAGGTTCAGGCCAGCAAAGGCAGAATGTCAGAGCCCAGAGGTGAAGCTGCCCAGTGGTTCATGGCTGGCTTCTTGCTGACTGTGCAGAGAAGCATTTGACCTGCTGTTTTACAAAGTATTATCAATGTGAGTTGCTCCGGTTTTGGGGTTTGCCTGCCTGGCCAGTGAAATCCACGCAGAGAAGGGGCCTTCTCAGTCCTCCTCATGCAGACTATTTCAAATGCTCCTTCCCATCTGCACCCCCCTCCCTGCTCTGCAGAGGCCTTTGGAATGGCTGGATCTCCATCCAGGCTACCTGCAGATACACACCACCAGTTGCCAGTGGCAAGAGGAAGCTGGGGGGATGAATTCCTAATGTCCTCCGATAATGTATTATCATGGCATTCCAAGAGTGGAATACTGTGGGGTTTGCTTCTGCTGTAAGGTCCAGCAGCTAGGGAATGCCAAGGCAGTGTGGCGGAGTGGTTTGAGTCTCAGCCCGGGACTCGAGAGGTCTGGGTTTGAATCCTTACTCAGCCAAGAAGCTGCCAGGGTAACTTGGGAACAATCATTCATCCCCAGCCTAATACTGGATAAAATGGAGTGGAGGAACATGTCAGCCTCTCAAGAGGAGGAAGTTGGGATACAAATATGGTGCAAAATGCAATGCAGTCATATTTTTATGAAGGGCGGTTGCAACCAAATATTGCAGTCCTGCTCTGCTGGAAGGAGGCGTGTCTCCCTACAACCCATTTTTATTATAATCTGCTACAGACTAGAGCAGACCAGGTCTCCAACTACCACCATCTTGTTTTCTTTTCATTCTCAGCTGGCATGTCAACTTTCTGACATCCATGACTTTAAAAAAAAAAATCATTCTTTTAATTTAGAAACCTATAACCTTCTGCATGCCTAGAAGTACTCAGAATGTGTAAAAACTCCCACCTTATTTGGAGATGGACTTATTTTGCTTCCAATCATCTTCCATGTTTGATGTGATTTCAGAGGTGGGCAACCTGTAGCCAACCACATGTTGTTGGACTTCAGTGCCCATCAGCCATACCCAACATAGCCAACTGAGTGGGATTATGGGAGTTGGAGTTCAACACCATCTGGAAGATTACAAGTTACGCAGCCCTGAACTTCCCTTCAGAGAGCTGAGGGCAACACCTATAGAGACAACCCTGTGAGCAGGTTAGTCTGGGAAATAATGACTGGTACAAGATCACCCAAGCAGCATTATGGCTGAGCATGGGTTTGAACCATGACCCACGCACATACACATTTTGCACCGGTTCTTTATTCACAGGAATAAAGGAGGAACTGACAGTGCTTTTCTCAGGGATGTGTTAGCCCATGCAGCAACACGCTTAGGAACATGACCGGAGCAAGGTGAGGGCACCCTGGGGAAACACGCCTCCCCAAATTCTCTGAAGATCTTCCTGAGAAGGGGATGAAAGATTTGCCATTCCCCTTTCTCAAGCCAATCTCACTTGTGCCTTTGATTATATTTGACAGCTTGCCTTTTGACAGCTGTCAGGTGTGGCTGAAAGTTAAAACCAACTGTGAAATAGTTGTGAAAATTAAGCGGGTCTGTTAAAAAGAATGCTTGGCAACGACGGACAGTTGCTCCAGCGCGATGCCGGGACACTTTGGAGAAATGGCCCATAGCTGTCAAAATGGGGATTGTGACAGCTGGCTTTTGCAATCTGAATGAAAAAGGGTTACAGTGTTTTAAAGCTATGGGAATCCTGAAAGGACTCATAGTTGTGCTAAGGAGAAGGTGTGTGTGTGTGTGTGAGGGGGAGGGGGGCACCTTGGTTCATCCCTGTACCTGCAGGATGACCAACAGAGGAGGAAGAAGGAGGGGGCTTTATTGTTAGGGTGGTTTAGCATGTTGTGTGGAGGTGCCCATGGTGTGTTAGAGAAATCAGTGTTTTCAAGAGAGAGGCTGGGGCTAGAAGAAGCTAAGATGTTGACATTACACGGATTGCTCAATGGCATCAACTAGATATTCATATAAGTAAAAACAAAGCGGAACATGAGAGCACGATGTATCTGACACATTTCTCACAGTATCCCTTTTGCTTGCAGAGGTTTGATCTGAAAAACCACACCAAAACAAAACAAAGGAGAAGGGGTTGGCTTTACAATACGCCACATACTTGACACGTTTTCAGCATTGTACATAGCCCTGCGCTTGCAAACCGTCCTTTCCAACCTGTAGGACAGACATTTGCCAGAAAATAAAGCACCCCTTTCTTCCTTGTTTGCAATTCATGAGCTAAATTTGCAATGATTGCATGACACTAACTTGTAATCACCACAACTCAGTGCATGTTTTTGGACTGAAAAGAATAAATTATGCATGGGCACAGCACCTCAAATGATGTTATCATGCAGCAGTCATAATCACATTGCACTTCTGTTGTTAATCTTGTAAACCACTATGTAAATTAAAAGAGATTCCTATATAGACACATGGCCATGTGCACTCACACATACCCCATAAATGAAACATGTTCACATATTTCTTCTGACTAATAATGATTCTCAGTCTCCATAAAGACTTCCTGATTTTGTTTATTTTCCTTTGTCTTCCCAATGCTGAAAGTTTCTAGGACTTTCTCATGTCTAAACATATAAAGTTGTGCCTTTAGTCATGCTTAGAACAATGTACAAAAACCTTAAGTTGGAGGGAAGAGAAACATCTCGATAAACTGATAAAAGAATTCATCTCAGTAGCAAATTATAAAGGTATCTTTTTGTTGTTTTTGTTTTAATTAGTTGGTCCGAAGGACATACAATTTCAAATACCTAACAAATATACAAACCTTTCAGTCAACAGCCAGAGAGAAAAAGTCCTGTCTGTACAGATGGAGCCCATCATATATCTCTTGGGAGAGCATTCCAGAAGGATGGCGCTTCCACTGAGAAGGTTCTGTTTCTTGTCCCTGCGAGTTCTCCTGTTCTTAGTAGCTGGCCAGTTTTAAGGCTCCCATGATTTTCTTGCAGCAGGGGGCAGGTTCGTACAGGTGTAGGTTGTCCTTGAAATACCTCAGAGCCAACATGTTTTGGACTTCATTGTGCCACCAACTCAAATTCTGCATTATGTAGCTTGTCTGATGTGATAGGCCTGGTTCACACTGGAGTTCCCTCAACTTCTTGGTAGTGCTTTTGAATCACCGTCTGGATGTTATGAAGGAATATTGACCTAGGCATCTTCTTTTCCCTTTTCTCAGAGCATGTGGATCTTTTGTGTGGCTTTTGTAGGTCTGGCCAAACATGGCGGCCCCATTGTTTCCTGTCCTGTCCTTGCACGATCCAGAGACTCACAGGCTTGGACAGTGGTTGGAACACTAACAGCTGACCAAACCCGCAGCTCTTTCCTGAAAATTCCCAGTGACAGTTTTGGAGTACTCTGTAAACCACCAAGTGCATATCAACAGTACATTCACAAGTTGTGAGTAGGCATGTCATGAGCGGAGCCGGCTGGAGCTGGGGGTCAGACTAGATGGCCCGGGAGACCCCTTCTGACTCGCTCTGTTTCTATGTTTCTAAGTTGAGCCTCCAGTTCCCAGCGGGATGCAGCCAACCAAAAAGGCCAATGAGATCTTTAGCTGTGTTCACAGAGACATTGTGTCCCGAACCCAGGAAGAGATGGTTCTGCTCATTCTGCAGGGCTTGGGCTGCATTTGGATGGCCACATTTTGAGAATGTTAAAACAGAGGAGCATATGCGGAGAAGGGAGACCAGGAAGCATTTAGCTCCACGTGGAACATAGTTTGGTAACAGAGGATGAGTGAGTTGAAAGGGCCTTGGAGACCATCTAGTCTGCCTGTTCAACTGCAGATGAAGCCATGCTGTGCGCTTATCTCTGTCTGAGTGCATGCAGCATGGTTCAGGGCCATAGTGCTCTGGGAGAAGAGATTTAACCGCCCCCCCCCCCCCCCCCTCATTTTCTTCATGAAGCAGAGACAAACTCCCCTGAAGTGAATGGAGGTTTCTCTCTCTTTCTCTTTTTAAATTCCCCTTCGGGTTGTAGTGATGGTAATGGAATTTCTTGAACAATAATTAGGAGAGGTTCAAACCTTCCCTGCCATGTTCCAGTCTGAACTGGGGCCTCACATGCTTACACAGAGATAAAGAAAATGCACACACTATGCTTTACTATGAACATTTTCAGGCCGACTAAAATGTTCTGCATAGCATAAAATGTCACTTTTATTGTTTTGTATTTTTGGCATTATAATATTTTACTGAATACATTTCATCTCATCAACTTGTAAACTGCCTCAAGGGAATATGTTAAGGGCATTTAAAAATAAATCAAGAGAAGAAAGGATTTAAGCACAGAATTGTAGTCTTGGAAGAGAACTTGTAGGTTGTTTAGATTCCTAAAGCCGGGGATTACCATGGTAACCTTGGTAGGTGCGTACCCAATTGTTGCTTAAATAGCCCCAGTGCAGGTATTAAACTTGTTAGCCCTGATCAGTGTGTCCGTTGCCAATCCCTCCCCAACCCCCCAAAAACAAAGACGGGGGACGTGCCTTTAACTCTTGTACAAACAGCCATTGTTTAACTGAGACAGTGAATGGAAAGCCTTGAGCTGCCAGCTCTGTTTGGCATGAAGTTGTTTAAAACGCAACAACCCTGCCCAGGAAGCAGCTGGCATTCTGGTACACTGGCTTAAAAGATGTGGAGATTTTTCCTTCTGATGGGGCTTCCCCTCATGATATGCATACTGCCTTCCCCCTCCCATCCCTACTAACGCATGAGGTGATGGCTTTGACCTTGGCATCAGCCAGCCTGCTGTCCAGTGATGTATTTGCTTATCTCTGCTGACAAAACAGCATCCTTCAACTGGTGTATTTAAGGCCAGAGACGGAAGAAGACTTCAGCAAACAGCAACCCGGAGGCTCAGCATCACACAAAGACCTTTGAAAATCCTCTGGAACCTCAAGATGCTGCCAGCAACTTTCAAGCTCTGTGCTGGCATTTCCTACAGGCATCTGCACAATATGTCAGGTAAAGACAAGCAACATCCTCTTCATCATCCTTTTACTTATTATGATGATTATACAACAAGCTGGTGATTGAGATGAGATGGCATTTGCTGATTAGCTTGTTTGGACTTTCCAGAGTTAGAGACTTTTGTTCTTTAGTATAATTCTTCTGAGGAGGTCAAGTCAATGTGTATTTCTTCTCCTGGGTTCTCCTGCTGTCCCACTGCAACTTCACAAGGACCCTGTGCTTATAAAATCAGTCAGTGAACTTTGTATCTGAGTGGGCATTCAAACGCGGCTCTCCCTGTCCTTACTTGACACCCTGAGCATTATGCAGACTTCGTATGAATGTGGGTGAGCAGGGCAGACAGAGGGTAGCTTAGGATTGGCAGAGGATCTGAAATAGACTAGCAAGGATTTCTGACCCCCCCCATTTCTGACCTTTCTCTCCATGCTGCCGAGATGAAGAAAGGAAGGTGGGGAGAGTGGGGGACTGCAACTGGATTTTTGTGTGGAGACGTAGTGAGCACAGCCAAGTTTGGTTACTCAGGACAAATTCCTGGGCTTAGAATTCTTAGCCTTGGATCCAGGGTCTGCCAGCCACAAGAAGAAGCAACTTTGCAGAATCTTTCTCTGCTGATGGCTTTTGTAAAATTGCCTCTGCAATTAATTGGGCAAACAGACGGAGAAGTGGAAACAGCCGCCAGGGTGATGCAATGCATTCCTGTACAGCCCAATCAAGGCAGGAGCCTTCCTTTCTGTACAGCCTGCTTTTGATGTTATCTAGAGGGGTAGCGCAAAATGCTTTTCCTGGAGAAGTTTACCATCTCAGACTGCTACGTCAAACTAGATGCAGCCAGCGATCTCCCCGTGTCCTTTTTTTTTTTTTTTTTTTTAAGGCACTGCAGCTTGAAGTCGGGGAACATTTTGTTTGGAAGCCTGATACCAAGAGAAGTAGAAGGGGGTTAATCCTTTTCTGTTATGACATTTTCAAATCCTCTGTATGCAGGATAAATTGCAGCTATGTCAGCTGCCTTGGCTTCCTCACAAGAGGAAGAATGGGCAATAAATTGCATTTATTATTATTAAAGCAATTCAGTAATAATAGACAAAAATAATTCACATGACCCAGTGGGACAAAAAGGAGGGGTGCGTGTGTCTCTTTTCCTCAGAGAAGTGTTTCTACTTTAAATAACCCCCAAACCCCCATGGCTGCCCCAGGAGCTTCTTAGGCTCAGAATGAAGAGAGAATGGCAACAAGGAAACCTTAAGCAATGCTGAAAAAGATTAATGCACAATATTCTAAAGGGCAGTAAAGTAACACTGGCCCAAGATATTTTGCCATCCGACATGAAGGATGAGATGTCCTCTCCCCTCAGAAGGCAGAACCGAACTGGCAGTCGTTTCCTGGCAGCAGGACCGTGTCTGTAATGTGCCCGAGGGCAGCTTGCTAGCTTAGCGGGGGCAAATTTTTTAGCAACAGCAATTAAATTCAGGTCAAATACAATTTTATAATTGTATTTTTACAGACTTATTTGGCATCGGTGTGTGTGTGTGTTTGTGTGTTTCTGGTGTATATGTTTTATCTTCATGATTTTATATTTTGTCATCTTTATGCATGGGTATTTGACTAAGGCAAATAAAGGAAAAGTTTCAACATGAGAAGACTATAACCTGCACCCAGCCCCACTTTGGAGAACATTCAGTGTTTGGTCCATTTTCTTTCCATATTCCAACATACTAGATCAACACAGGTTTCTGATGAGTGACTCACAGTGAAATGGTGGCCATCTGAACTGCACCATCCATCAGTCCACAAAACTGGACTTCAAAAGCATCTTGGCCTACTATGTATATGTATAACCCTCTGGGCTATTAGGGTGGTATATAAATGCAAATAACAAATAAATAAACAAACAAACAGGCTGGGATGGCAGTGCAGAGCCCTGCTTGCTGCCACCCCCTCTGCAGCTGCAGCCTGGCCCTGCAAGCAGTCGTCCCGAAGGACACCGTGATGACTGTTCTTATCCAGCTGGGACGCAGCAGGCACCCTAGGAGTAGTCTGTATGGTGCTGGACCACAGATAGATATTCCCTTCCACTACATCTTCAGGAAGAGTTTCAGGGTGGAATGAAAAGCTTTGATCGTATTTGTCATCGGTCCCCTTTGCACACCAATCTTTTGTTTTCTTCTACTCAGGCTTGAAGAGACAAGCAGCAATTGCAATTGTCCAGGAGCTGAATAAGTTTGCATTTTCCAGACCGGGCCCGAGCAAGTGGATCAGCCAAGTGCGCAGAAGGAGCTCTTTGCTGAGTAAGTATCCAAACAGGACACCAGCTTGCATATTTTGCTGCCCAGAGAGGACGATGCTAATGGATGGCTTTCAAACAAATCTAACAAGTAAACAAATAAGCAAGGAATCTCCTGATATGTTTTGGGCTACAGAATTTCTGATTTGAGCAAGTCCTTACAAATCTTGACTATCTCTTTTTAAAATAAGCTGTCCTAATCCAACCTTACAGGCTCCCGACTGGAGGAGAACCTCTTCAATGAATCAGAAATGTTCTACATCAAACAAGGAGAGGAGGCGCTTCAGAAATCGCTTAATATTCTTGGAGAACAAGGGGACTGGAAAACAGAAACTGTGATGGTAGGTTTGTTGCATTTTTGTCTGTTGTTTCTTTCTTTTTGAGTTGGAAGAGTTGGAGGTTGGGCTGGAACCACAAGTGGGGTTGCATCAGTGGACCCACAATATTTCTTTGTTCGAAGAGTAGAAAAACAGGGGAAAGAGAAATAGACCTAATCCAACCTTACAGGCTCCCGACTGGAGGAGAACCTCTTCAATGAATCAGAAATGTTCTACATCAAACAAGGAGAGGAGGCGCTTCAGAAATCGCTTAATATTCTTGGAGAACAAGGGGACTGGAAAACAGAAACTGTGATGGTAGGTTTGTTGCATTTTTGTCTGTTGTTTCTTTCTTTTTGAGTTGGAAGAGTTGGAGGTTGGGCTGGAACCACAAGTGGGGTTGCATCAGTGGACCCACAATATTTCTTTGTTCGAAGAGTAGAAAAACAGGGGAAAGAGAAATAGAAAGGAGTCACTTGGGTTGGAATGGGAAATCAACAAATAATAAATCATAGCAATTTATGAGCTTGAACAATCTCAGCATCTCTCCTCTTTCATACCCTTGAGGAAGAGATTGGAAACTTTTGCTTCCTGCTTTGAACTCTCCATTTTCTTGCCTCCTTGTACAATGGAGCAATTGAAAGCATCTGCTTCTGGTATTCAACTAATCACAGCCCTTTGTGAAGTCAGATAATAGTGGTTGTTCAAACTTGGATTTGTGAATAAATCTGGATTTGAAACCATGGTTTGTTCTTATTATCCATAATTTAAACAAACCACAGTAACTTGAGTTTGGATATCACATGGAACTGTGGCTTGTTGAAAACTGACAATTCATGGAGTTTGCATAGGAGGGGAGTGGCGTATATGCAGTTAACACCAATCGACTGCCTGGCTAACACATGCTGGACCAGTCTGCACTTCAGAACAGTGTTGAAGATGAGCCAAGGAAAACAAATCCAGTCTGAAAAAGCCCACTAGGGTCAAACGTAATTCTCAACATAATGACATCCTGAGCGCTTCTCTTTTGGATTATGCAGACCAGTGATGCTAATATTTCAGGCCTCTCCTTTTTCTGCAGGACAATGGTGACAAAGTGCTGAGCAAAATGCTCCCGGATGTGGGGAAGGTTTTCCGGCTTGAAGTGGTGGTTGATCAACCCCTGGACTGTGTCTATAGCGAGTTGGTGGAACGGATGGAGCAGATGGGGGACTGGAACCCAAGTGTCAAAGAAGTCAAGGTACACCAACCCAGAAATACGTTCTCAGGGAAGCAAGACACCACCACTGTCTTTAGTACTGCAAAACTGGAAGGACATACACCCACTGTTAATAACACCATGGGCAGAGCACTCAACTCCTGCCCCTCCTCCTCAACACCACCGCTCTTTGGGTTGGGGTGAGAGGCAGGTGAACAAGCAGATTGCAATGGTGAAGCTGCAGAGCACTTCTAGGGGGCCCCTGTCCGTGAGCCCCTTCTGGGGTGTGGCCAAGGACAAGTGCGCAGCCACACATGCCCTGGTGCTGCAGAAATGCAAGAATAAATAAAACGATCACTATAAAACAACCACAGCGTCCCAGTGTTTGTGCAGTTCTTCCAAGGGACTGAAGAAAGTCTTCTAAAGTCTTTGTGTCCAAAAGTTAGAGCACTGAACTACAATATGCTGATAGGTTTTGCAGCTTTGGGGCCACCCCTCTTGGCTCTGTCCACCACTGGAGCGCAATTCAGCTCCAGAGAGCATCTCTGAACAGAATTTGGCCGAATGAGGATTCCCCAGCCTAGACCTGCAGAAATATCTTGTCAGATAAATACGCTGTGTCTTCTAATGGGCATTCTTTTGGTAGATCCTGCAGAGAATTGGGAGCGATACTGTGATCACTCATGAAACTGCAGCAGCCACCCCTGGTAATATTGTTGGTCCGCGAGACTTTGTGAGTGTCCGCTGTTCCAAGAGGCGCGGCTCAACATGCATCCTGGCAGGCATGGCCACCACCTATGCAGGCATGCCTGAGCAAAAAGGAGTCATCAGGTAAAGAGTTCCTTAAAACTAAAGATTGTTTGCTTTCACTTCTAGCTAAGCCATGCACAGCTTCAGAGCAACGAAGGTAAATTGGGATCTTTAGTTGATTTGTAGGTTCCTTGTGCACAGCATTCAAAATGGGAGACTAAAGCACAGCTAACCTTGTGCTAATTGTTCTTCTCTCTGTGTGTATTTCTTGCTTGTAAAATAGGAGTATAAATAGGTTGGCTTTGCCTGGGTCTTTACACAGTTCTGCTCTCAGGCTGTAAATTTCTGAGTTAGGATGTTTTCCATAGTTTGTACTGCTTTATACAGATTAGTCAATATAGGCCTCATGGATGCAACAGGTCAATGAGCCTTTGCCAATCCAAGTAGGAAATACTGGGCAGGACAAGTTACCTGTACCCATCTTTGCTTTGATTGCCCAGTTCCACTTCATCAAAACCACTGAGGAATTTTACTTCTTTGATGGAAGCGGAGATCACGGCCAATGTTAGCACAGGAGAGCCTAAGGTTGGCATGAGACCCTCATAGAAAAGGTATTCCTGAGCTTAGCTCTTCCCCTACAAAACTACTACAGGATGTGAAGTCAAGATGCAAGCAGTTAAGAATGTGGAGGAGGGGTGGGGGACTCCTCAGTAGGATGGCTTCATGAGTGAGAGTCACTCAGCATATTGGGACAGGAGAAAAGGAGGACAACAATGCTTCCATGATCGCCACTAGCCCTGTGTCGGTTGGGCAATCTGTAATTCAGCCTTCTGTGACTTAGTGCCTTCCCATCATCCATGCCCAGATTAGCCATTTGGTATGCAGCCTGGCGGATGAAGAAAGCAGTGGTCCAACACATCCAGAGGGAACCCAGTTGAGGGAGGCTTGGTCTAGTTCTACCTGGACCATTGGAAATCATGAAATTCAGTTCTGGCTTATAGGAATAGGAATATAGGCCTGTAGAAACCCACCAGCCTGCATCAGGCGAATATGCTAATTGGATGTTCTCATTTCCTTCCACAGAGCTGAAAATGGTCCCACATGCATGGTTCTCCGACCACTCAAGGGAGATCCCTCCCAAACTAAGTTAACTTGGCTTCTCAGCATTGATTTGAAGGTACGTGCACATGATGAACTTGGTTAAATGGCAGCATTAGTTGGCTTGACCAGAATGATTTGCTTGCCAGAATCAGCACAGTTTGGGCTGCCTCCTAGGAGGGCAACTAATGGGAGAGTTTTATAAATCACAGAATGATGGGAAAGGCGCCAGTAACAAAAACCTACTGACTACTGCGGGTACTCTGGGCGGAAGGAAGGAAGGAAGGAAGGAAGGATTCTACAACTGATGGGAAAATGTACCTTTATACATTTACACTGTGCGATTATTCAATTTCTACTAATTAACAAGGAAGGGCAAATATCAAGGATGATTTTCTCTGGCTACTAGAAATCACTCTGAACTTAGACTTGCCTCCATGCCTTTGAGCTGCCCTCTTACCCTTTCCTTCATTAAAATGAAAACAACTATGCAGATTAAAAATGCTTTTCCTTGTAAAGATAAGTGCTCAATGTTATGCTCAGTGGAGGGAGTCTGAATACAGAGTAGAAAAAGACCAGTTCGTGATGCACTGGCTCAGAAACGATTCATTTAAATACAGAGCACAGTATGAAGAAACCGAAGGGATGATTCCTCTTCCCTTTCCCATAATGGTTGAACTCACCTGATGAACTGATTAGCAGCAAGTTCAGGAGAGACAGCCTGTACTTTGCTTGTGCAACTGGCGTAACAGGAGGGCACCCCCCCCCCCAAACCATGCTTGATTGGGCCTCCAGTGGAGAGACACTGAACCTGAGAACACCTAGCTTGTCTATTCTAGCCTAACAGTCCTCCGATTCTTTTCTTTATTCCAGGGATGGCTGCCAAAGACACTACTCAACCAAGTCCTCTCCCAAACCCAGGTGGATTTTGCAAAGCACCTCCGCAACCATTTGACCACCTCTTCTGCCGCCAGGCAGGCTTTGAGCTGTTGATGTGAAGCACCCCACCCCACTTCCTCCAGGATAGGCCGCACACTCCAACAGCAGAGGTCTACCACTCTGGAAGGCTACGGGGACCCTCATCTCTTCTGCAAGGAAAGAAGCTGCAGCATACTCAAAGTGATGGCAGTTTAGTCTTCCCTAGCAATAGCAAGGCAGATGTTCTGGGCATAGTTGCTTTCTTTGCATATCGCTGATGTTTTTAGGAGACCATCAAGCTGAAGTAGACTCTGTCTCTGCATGTTTAAGCAGCTTCCTTGTGAAAGATACAGGGAAACATTTCTTTTTAGGATTCAGGGCCAGCTATGACATAAGGCAGAGCAAGGTAGCTAGTTCAGGCAGCAGATGCGATGGGGCAGCCGTGAGATGTTCACAAACAAAGCTGGGTCCGCGCCTGCAGCTTGTTCAGGAGGGGCTGTCACTTGCCAGCCAGTGTTGAAGTAAAATTCAATGGCCACTCTAATCAGCTTCTGAACTGGGAATGATGGGTGTTTGGGGGGCAAGCTTCTGCTTTCCTAGAATAGCAGAGATGGAAGGAGCCAATAAAGCCATCAGGTTCATGCAGGACTCTAAGCAAAGCACCAAGTTTTGCTACCTCAGGCACACCATGACTCATGTTCAACCCCTAGCCAATCCAAATCAGAATTAAAGGGTCAGGGAGCAGGTGATGGAAGAACCCTCTGCCCACGATGCTGGACATCTCCTACCACTGAGGGAAGAAACAGAAGTCCTCAACCCCCCTCCCCACTTTAGCTCCCTCTGATTCTAGCCCTACCGCATGCACACAACACAAGCCTTTAAAAATGGGAAATGCACCAAGGCCCCTGGCAGGTTCAGGAACAGAACTGCCTCCTCAGAACCACAGCAAAGGAAGGAAAGGTCTAACTTCCCCCTCCAGGCCTGCTGAAATCCTGAAAGATTCTGTATTCGTTTGCAAAAACTGGCATCCCCAGCAAGATTAAAATAAACCAGGCACATTCCAAAACTCATTCAAAGAGCTGGGATGAACAAACTGGTGAAAGATATGTAGGTCTGAGCAATTGGTGTTACTGAAATAACTGTAGTTTTCCCCAATTCCCAAATATAAGAAACCAACAGCAAATGCACTTCGAGCACAGAGGTCTTCTGCAGTGGTCTAGAGTACAAAGAAAATCAGGCTTATACACACACAAACGCAATGTAACAGGATCAAAGCCTCTCACATAAAGTGCTTAAAGGTATAAAATTGTGAATAAAAAGGGGATATTTTATTCATTGAAAATATTATAGAGCAGCAGCTTGTCAAATGTTAACACAAACATGCAAAGGCAGGAAGTCATGGACCTTGCCTGACTCAAAATGCATGCCAAGGTGCATGCACAACAGAATATTTCTCATTTTAACAGGTCCTAAAGATTCCCACAGAAGGTTTAATTCTGTTGCAGGCAAGGCTCATTCAAAATTCTGAAAGCAATTTAGTAAAATTTGCAACACTTACGAATCCTTGGAATATGCTCCAGACCAGAATCACCTGTAACAATCCAGTTAGTATTTATTTTTCTCTCTCTTGTAGTTAGACAAGTGTTTTATTTAATATTTATTCTAGGAAAGTACATAAAGGCAAAATGTATTATTGCTGTTTTATTCTTACATGCTTCCAACAACTTCATGTAAAAAACCAGCAGATCGACTGGGGTGAAGATGTGGGGTGCTAAGTCATAGTGCTTATTTCAAGCTAAGTGAAAAAGGACTGTATTTTTAAAGATCTGAGCACTTGAAAAGGTGTACTGGCAACTTAATGAGAGGAGCAGAAAATGTGCTCTAGGTATAACAAAGACAACTCAGCTGTTCCAACTTTGTGAGTTGACATTTTTGAAAATAAAAAAATGACTATGCTTTTGCTCATCTGTCTGTTTTTGCTGGTAGGAATAAACAACATTTGAGGCTCATGTAACTGAAACATCCGGGGCTGTTCCATGACCGGAGAGCAAATGGATGCTCTGAAACTTGAATGAACATGAACACACACTCACACTCACTCACTCTCACACACACACGCACGCAGAGAGAGCGAGAGCAAGCGAAAGCATGTCTGGGGAAATGGGTAGAGAAACTACATTTTAAGTGCAAATGCTCCTACAAATTTATCATCACAGATATGGGATAGAATAGACTCAGCCTGGGGTAGAATAGTCTCAAGACAGAATTAAAAACTGACATGGACAAGAAACAGGGGGTCAGTGGCTCCCCTCCACATCCACGCAGCAGCTCTGAATCCCTGCTGCTTCTTACGGTGGCCGCTGGGAGATAGAAGGGAGAGCAGCCCTAGAACCAAAGCACTGGGTCACCACATCACGAGGAGCCCAAGGAAGACGCAAACCCATCGCAGCACAGTGGGGCTCTGTGCTTTTACCCCAGCCTCTGGGCTGCCAGGCTCCCGTAACGATGCAAGAGCGACATGCATGCACAGAATCCTTCTACCCTTTGCAGGGTGACTTTGCTTTCCTGGGGAGGGTAATTTTCGAAAGAAAGGCACTTGTGGCTTCCTCTGCCTCATTCATCTGAGAATTGCTCTGCTTGTTGCCAAATGGTCGGGCACGGGACCACTGAAGCAGCCCCCAGGAGGAATATTTTCAGGATGAATTGAAGTGACACCCAGGTTGGAATTTAAAAAAAAAAACCCAACATTTATTCCTTTTCCACTTTACATCCAGTGATACCATTCCTTTTTGTAAAAAATAATATTTACAATGTCTTTCATGGTTCCCATGGTGGACTGCGTCTCCCATCCACTTCTGTTTCCACATGATAGAGGACATCTGCAAGGGTATGCTCGACCACAGCAACCCAGCCCATATCACTCATCTGTAAGATGAAAGGGATGGAGAAAGGAGGGTAAAGCCAGAAAAAATGAACCCCCTTCCAGGGACTTTTTTTAAAACATGGAGGGAAAGTCTGCCCCCAGGTTTTTCTGCTCTCCCTGCCCCCCCTCCCCCTGGTAGACAGAAGGGAATGCAGGACTCATAATATCAGCACTGCTTAAGCTGACAGTATATCTATGCCCTCCCTCTCCATTTTGGCCTCCTCCTTAAATCTTTCTAGCAATACTTCTCGGAATCTTGTTTCAGGAATCACCGTTACGATGCCCATTAGGCAAGGATATAATCTCTAGGGTAAGCATTTTCAACTGGGTTTGTATAATCACAGGATGACTGTGAGCTGCCTCATTACCATGATTATGACAGCCTGTTCCCAGTGAGAGTAATGTCCAGTCACAGTGAGGTGTCTAGAAGCCACCCTCGCCTGGTTTGTCGACAGCTGGTTCTAGGGTTGCTGTGTGGTTGGTACATCTCGGCAGGTTTGCATTAAGAAGTCTAGATTCCCAGCATGACAAATGCTTCGTTTATCCTGCCCAAGGAATTACTCCTATATCCTACTTACCGGTCGGTAACTGATATCTCTTGGAGGGTATTTGAAGTAGGGCCCAAAGTTTATAGAAACCTATGAAAGGAAGACAAGCCATTTTCAACTGTGGCGATGCTTAGCACTACTTCCTCTCATCCCAAAGTGTAGGAAAGGTATCTACACGGCAATGTACTAAGCTGCTAGTAAAACATGTTACAACAAAAAGACTGCGGGTTCACAAACTGAAAAGGATGCTTCAGAGATGCTCAGGTTAAAGTAAGGAAGTGAACCAAAGCCTCTTACGATGTTACAGAAGCTTTTAGAACAGTTATTAAATGAATAGCTGTGAAATTTTACTAGCCTGTTAAAACAAAGCTAGAAGTCTGTGTTTCCTTGCTGATTGTTGAAGAAGAGTTCTCTTGTCTGCATACAGCAGGCTACTTTTAGCAAGCCAGTAAAAGATAATATTGGGACTGATGGAGGAGAGGCAAAGCCACCCCGCATTTCTCTGCTAGCCCTCCTGGGCCGGTTTGCAAGGAGAGACCGTCAGCAATCAGGCTAGTTGTCGAATAAAAAGCTGCACAGTTGCGGCCTCGTGTTGCTTTCCTGAGATGCACACTTGCTTTTTTGCAGGACAGTACACATAAACTGATGCAGAGTAGATCAGCTCTATCATCTGCACTGGTTAGTCCAGAACTAGGCAGGTTCCATGTAAACAGCAATAGAAAAGAACTGCGAAGAGCAGAGAAGGATTGAAGTGAGATGCCTGTACTGTATGTCTGTTTTCAGGCTCAAGCCATCATACAAGCCCAGGGTACAGAAGCGGAGCCCAGACTAGTCTATCAATTTGTACATACCGTGCAGCCTTTATACAGTGACACAGCAGGGAAGTAAACACCTTCAAAAACATCTTTGTATGCAACACCTTGGCTGGCACCATTTTTATAGAAGATTATCTGGAAGAGACAGGCGGCAGTCAACACAGGGAGCACGGTACCACTGCCATCCTTCCATGCTTCCCTCTGCCCTGCTTGGCTCCCTTCTCTCTCCCACTGCAGGTTCTTTAGGGGATGCACCAAATCTCCTTGGGAAACGAAAGATGACTAGCAGACAGAGCCCAAAAGATGAAGGAAACAAAGTACACTTCTTGCATTCTACAGAATGCAAAACAGCTTCTTTGAAAGCCATTTCTTTATACGTCAGAGAATAAAAAAGACGGCTGAAGCATTTGTTGGTGCAGAGAAGTGCATCTTGCAAATTGTGACCTTCAAAATGCAGCCTTCTGGACTCTGCAGCCCGCAAGCATTTGTTAGGATCTCAGCTCATCCTCTGTAATGAACATCTTGAACGCTGCACTCACTGAGACAATTAAGACAACGCTGCTTCACTGCACAACAGCAAAGTATTTTCAGTGTTGTTCTGCAGGCCAAATAAGCACAGGCAAAAATTCCTCACCCAGCCTGGACGCAGAACTTCCATTTGAGGAAAGCTTCACGTATTATTCGCAGAAAGCCCAAGCCATGACATGGGTACCAACTGGGAGAAGCAATTGCTTTCTGATTAACATATCTGTATTTTTAAAGCACTACACATTATGAGTAGGAATGGTAATTTAATAAAAGGTATAAGATTTGAGAATAAAACAGATTTGCAGATGATACACTATTAACAATAAAGGACCTAGTTAAGGTTATGAATCAGATAAAAATACATTTAACAGAATTTGGAAAAAATAAAAGGTTTACAAGTAAATTGGGACAGATGTTATTTAATTGTAATAAAGTGGGAAAGGATGAGATTAAAATAAAGTGAGAAGTTAAGATACCCAATAGTATTAAGTATTTAGGAGTAAATATAAAATTTTGCAATGTTTAAAAGAGAATGATTTTGTTAAGTTAAAATATGAAGTTGAAAGAAGACGAATGATTTTGAGAAGATTGGTCTGTCATGGTTTGTTAGAATAGCAGCACTCAAAATGAGGATTTTTTTTCCCTAAGATTAATTTCTTGCTTATGATGTTACCAATCATTAACAGAGAAAGATTTGAAAGAATGGAAAAATATGATTAATAAATTTTGTAATGGGGATAAAAAAGAAAGGATAATTTAAAAAGATGGTATATGCC